CACACACACACACACACACACACACACACACACACACACACACACACACACACTCAAACACACACACACAGTCAGTCACTCACACACACACACACTCACACTCACACTCACACTCAAACACACACACACAGTCAGTCACTCTCTCACACACACACACACACACGCACACACACTCTCATACTCACACACACACTCTCTCTCACACACACACACACACACGCACACACACTCTCATACTCACACACACACTCTCTCTCACACACACACACACACACGCACACACACTCTCATACTCACACACACACTCTCTCTCACACACACACACACACACGCACACACACTCTCATACTCACACACACACTCTCTCTCACACACACACACACACACGCACACACACTCTCATACTCACACACACACTCACACTCTCACACACACACACACTCATACTCACACACACACACACACTAATATGATATAATATAAAATATGATTAGCCTTTCAAACAGAGACTGAAATGCTGAAGCTGTTCAACAGCTTCCCCTTCATTAGCTTCTCTATCAGAAACAAAATGAGGTCAAATCTGAGTTTCTGATGCTTTTCAGAGCGACTACGAGGAAAACAGCAACGAAGAGAAGAAAGCAGAGGAGGAAGAGGAAGGAGGAAATGAAGATTAGGAAGATGAGGAGGAAGAGGGTGATGGAGAGAGCGAGGATGGGGAACAAAAGGAAGGAGGAGATGAGGAGGAAGAAGAAGATGGCAGTGAGGAAGGAGGAAGTGATGAAAGTGAGTGAGTGAAGACGAGCAGAACATTGAGGAGAGCAGCGGAGATGAAGAACAACCGTCAGGGAAGATTTCATCAGATCTGAGCGACGTCAGTCAATCACGTGATCAGCTCACACTGCAATAATCTGTGATGTGTTGATTCCCACAGACTGCCAGATGAAAATAACTGAAATATTACTGCTACAATATTAAAAAACAAATCCCTCTCTCTCAACAGGATATGACATCATGATGGGCGAAGCTCTCGCAGGAGTCAGAGAAGAAAATTAATGCAAATTCATATTTAACTTTCATGCAAATTAAGATTCAAGAAATAACTCATACTCGCATCACGACTCCGAAGGAACCCAATGAATCAGATCAGAACCACAATGATACGTAACACAAATAAACGTTGCATGCCATTTTAAATGTTATTATAGTGTATAATTGTTAAAAAATGTCATTTTAAGTCAGTTTTCTCCTTTTAATTTAATTTACCTTATAGTTTGGTTTTTAAGTATAGCCTATTTGGTTTCAATTTTGTGTCACATCAACAGATGTTGTTTTATAAACGTATAAACCTAATTCATTCATCTGAATTCAATATCACATGCAAAAAACAATCTCAATATGTAGGCCTATATTATATATCAATATGTGCATTCATGTAAATCTGAGGAACTGGTATTACTAGAGCTGGATTCTGTTTTTAATGTTACACAAGTGTATATAATCCTCAATTTCTGTGTCATTGTTTTGAAAAACATTATTAATAAAGGTAATCTGTCATGAAGTAAACGCCTCGCCTCAGACTTCTGATTCATTATCCGTTACAGGTGCATAACTACAATAATAATGTGCAATAAACAGCATTTGAGCTACAAACCAGTCTGTTTATAATTGCGACGATACATTCAAATAAAATGATTAGAAATACTAGAGCTGTTTTGACCGCGTGTGCATGCACTTACCTTGAAAATATGTTGGATAGATTTACCTTTGAATGTTTCAAATGCGTCTGAAAATTCAAACAAGACTGAAATTGACACAAAAGTACAACACGTTTTTATTGAAGTGCACCATACAGCACGTGCGTAAATTCGTAAGAATCTAATCAATATCTGATCAATACAGTAAACAGAGTTTGACATCAGACTGGTGCACGTGATCTATAACAGTACAGGTAAAACTGAGGTCACGTGACAGCACAGCAGAGTGGATTGATAGCAGATGCTGCTTCTTGATTGGACGACAGTAGCCTACGACTGTCATAATTATGAGAGTCACTGCTCTCGATAATTACTGCTCACATTCATAAGAGTCTCATTATCACTTGGTAACAAAAAAAGAATCTCTTCTCAATCATAACTGTTAATTAACAATTAATTTACGAGGAGATAATATCCAGCGCTCGCTAGACCATCACTAGAAAAGCGTTGAGCAGATTCGAGTTGATAAATAGACGCTGAAGGCCGTGTCTGGAGCTCTAGAGCGGGTTGTCGATGTTCCAGACATCTCCGCTGAGCGCGTTGGCAGCGCCCTGCAGCGTCCAGGTGAAGAGCGCCAGCTGGCGGCGGAAACGGGCCTCGTCGAACAGGTGCGGCGCGGAGCGCAGGAGCGACAGGTGATCAGCCAGAGCGCTCAGAGTGTGATCACCGCGGCCGTTAAACACGTGACGGAACGGCGTCTCCACCACCGACACGTACTGCGACAGGAAGTAGTACTCCACCTGCGCGCAACAAACACAAGCAGGTTACATGCAGATGTCCATCCAAACCTGTGTGACTTTCTTCCATCAGTGGAACACTGAATATATATATGTTTTTTATCTCACAGTTCAGATTTTTTTTCTCTCGCAGTACTGAATTCAACTTGAGATATAAACTTGCAATTTTGAGAACAAAAGTCGCAATTGCAATTCTGAGGAGACACAATAAAAAATAAAATATCATTTTGTCCTTATATCTCCCAATTCCGAGTTTCTTCCCCGCAATTCTGAGGAATAAAAAGCAGAATTGAGAGATGTTGCTCGATTAAAGTCGCGATTCTGAAAATGCATGAAACAAAACAAAAAAAATTAAAAGTAATTGCGACTTTTTATCTCACAGTTCAGTTTTTTCTCGCAGTACTGAATTCTGAGATGCTAACTCACTATTGCGAGTTTATAACTTGAGATGGCTATAAACAGTGTTGGGGGTAACTCATTACAAGTAACGCGAGTTATGTAATCAGATTACTTTTTCCAAGTAACTAGTAAAGTAACGCATTACTTTTTAATTTACAAGAAAATATCTGAGTTACTTTTTCAAAAAAAGTAACGCCAGTTACTTTGTTTTCCCATTTACATGATGTGTGAACATGATGTTACTGTAGTTCTAGAGATGTAATTAGTTACTTTTTTATGGAGTAACGCAATATTGTAATGCATTACGTTTAAAAGTAACTTTCCCTAACGCTGGCTATAAACTTGCAATTTTGAGAACAAAAGTCTTACTCGCATTTGCAAGATATAAATTGCAATTCTGAGGACACAATAAAAAGTAAAACATAATTTTGACTTTATATCTCCCAATTCTGAATTTTTTCCTCGCAAAAGTTGCACGATTAAAATCGCGATTCTGAAAATGCATGAAAAACATAAAATAAAAAGTAATTGCGACTTTTTGTCTCACAGTTCAGTTTTTTCTCGCAGTACTGAATTCTTAAATAAACTTACAATTTTGAGAACAAAAGTCATATTATGAGTTTATAACTCGCAACTGCAAGATATAAATTTGCAATTCTGAGAAGACTCAGAATTGAGAGATGTTGCACAATTGTGAGATATAAAGTCGCAATTTTGAAAATGCATGAAACAAAAAATAATTGTGACTTATAATCTCACAATTCTGACTTTTTCCTCAAAATTTGGACTTTTTTCAGAATGTTAACTCGAGTTTATAACTCTAAAAAATAAACTTGCAATTCTGAGAACAAAAGTGTTATTGCGAGTTTATAACTCACAATTCCAAGATATTAACTTGCATTTCTGTGAAGGTATGGAATAAAAAAATAAAGGTAATTGCAACTTTTTTTCTCAATTCTGTTTTTTTATTTATTTTTTTTCAGAATTGCGAGATGTTAACTCACAATTGCGGTTTATAACTTGAGATAAAATCTTGCAAATTTTGAGAAGGCATGGAACAAAAAATAAACATTCGGTTCGGATGACAAAAAAAAAAAGGAATTGCTGCATTATATGAAACACAGCACTCTGCAGTTTGGAATGACATGAAGGTGAGAAAAAGATTATTTTATTTTATGTTTCTGATATTATATATATCTCAGGTCATAATGTACGCGTGTGTTTGTTCACCCTCATAATGCGTGTGTTGTAGAGTCTGGCGAGTCTCTCGTCCTGAATGTCGCTGTTCTTTATGGCCTCGTGCAGGTTTTTGGCGGCTCTGCTGTAATCACCTCGAGCGCTGAAAACCCACTGCGGAGACAAACCACGCGACTGACAGACGGAGAAAGAGAGATGAGACACTCAGCTCAAACACTGGAGCGTACAGTTCAGTCCTCATATACCTGTGTGTGTGTGTGTGTGTGTGTGTGTGTGTGTG